TCGCCTTGCCTTACTGGATGCCGAGGTCCAGCAGTGCTACGACAAAGTGCGCTTGTCTCAGGACCGTCCGGGCCAGGTCTTGGAACTTGCGGCCTTCAAGGAGGCCAAGCGCAGAAGAGCGGACTTTCGTAAACATTGCAGGAAGCGATGGTTGAAGCAAGTTCTTCAGCAGCTTACGGCTGCCGTCGACTGCCATGACATGCGCACTTTTTACGACCTTTTGCGACGTCTTGGGGTTTCCACCTTGGAGGCCTCTCGCGAGGGCAGTGTGGATTTTTCCTTGTCCTCTCTGCGAGCACAAGCCATGAAAGCGGCAGGGTTGGTTGATGACATCTCCCCCGACCTCATTGATAGGGTTGTGCCGGACTTGGGTTTAGACCCCTCCCTAGGTGCACCGCCGACGTTTCAGGAAGTTTTACAGGCTTTATACGGCTTGAAGGATTCCTCGGCGGGCTCTGATGAGGTCACCATAGGTATGCTTCGCGCTGCGGGTGACACTGCACATTGGCAGCTCTTCTTGATGATACGTCTTATGTGGCGCACTCCTCATGCTGAGTGGAGCGACTTGTCCAAGGAAGGCATTGCAGTGGCCCTGTATAAGGGCGATGGGTCCAGGCAGGACCTGGATAATTTTCGTTTCGTTGTCATGTTGTCAGCCATCAGTAGAGTTCTTGCTCGTCTGGTGGCCACCCGGCTATCGGCCTGGGCTGAAAGGCGGCAGTTGCTACCGCAGGTGCAGTTTTTGGCTTCCGTCGTGGTCACTCTACGGCCGATGCTCTCTTCATAGCCCGAGTGTTAACCGAGCTTGCAGCTGAAGTGCGTTTGCGTGGACATGATGATGAGGCAGATATGCTTGTTTTAGTTTTAGTTGATATCACCAAGGCCTATACGAGCGTTCAGCGCTCCGGTGCGTGGCGTTTGCTGCGCCGCCTCGGTGTTCCAGAGCCTATGATCTCTGTCTTGATGGGTCTTCATGAAGGGACGGTTTATAGGTGCCGTAGCCGACAGGGTCTGTCGGAGCCTTATAGGCAGCAAACTGGCTTTAGGGAGGGGTGCTGTACGAGCCCTATCTTGTATAATATTTTTCATTCTTTTGCTGTGAGAGATTTCGAACAGCGCTGTGCTGCCAGGTTGCAGCTGCAATACATTCCTGAACGCCCTTTTAATATAAGAATGCATAAGCACCCGGCCAGAGGCGAACAGGCTCTCCTTAAAGAGCTTCTCCTACTGCTTTTTGCTGACGACACGACACTGCTAACCAGGATGTCGCGATATGCAGACCAGGAGCAGCTCCTCGGGGACACTTTGTCCGAGTGGAAGGAGTACTTAAAGCCTGCCAAGGCAAAGCGGATGGCGGTGGGATATGCACCTGCCTCAGTGGAGTCTCCGTTCCAGGGTTCTGTCAAGCTGCTCGGGAGCCTTTTGTCCCACGACGCTTCATACCAGACGTTTGCAAGCAGCCAAGCTTTTGTGGCGTTCGGTCCACAGACAGCTGCCGCGTTTCGGCCTGTCTGGTAGACAGAAGGGTGCGGTGGTTGGCTGCACTGTTGTCCGTTGCCTCATGGCACGGAGAGCCGTGTGGTTCGTCAATCTACTCTTCGCAAGTGGCAAGTTTTTCTGCATCAAATGGCGCGTGGTATCACGGGTCAGAGAATCATGACGATGCAGGAAGACCAGGTCACTTCGGCGGACCTGCTGCGCAAAGTGGGCCTCGATCACATTGAGGTTTACGTCGGTGTCGGGCAATTGAGATACTTGGGGCACCTTGCCAGGCTGCCGGATGAGAGACTAGAAAAGCAGATGCTCTACGCTTGGCTCACCCCGGAGCACAAGGAGACTGCGCGAAAGATGCTGACAACGCGTCAGCAGCTGTGGTCGCGCTTGCGGGAGCTGATGCTCGCGAACGACGTTGAAGATTGGCATCAACGCTGGACTTCCATTGCGCAGCAAGAAGGGGGATCCACCTGGAACTCCATGATCAATCAATGGGTCAAGCATCAGCGCCAAGTCTTGTTTAAGCAAACGTGGCAGCAGAAGCACCGCCCGGAGGCCATGGCAGCCAAGCAGAAGGCAACGTTGGACAGAGCTTTCAAGCTGACGGGAGGTACGCCTGTGGATGGTGGCAAGTATGCGTGTCCTCATTGCTTTGAGCCCAAGGTTTGCAGGTTCCTTCGATCGCTTAAAGTGCATGTGGCCACGTGTAAGGATCTTCCGGAGGAGGTTCGCAGACGTCAGGCTGCAACTCGTGCGGCTTCTCAAGCAGCCTCTGCACCGATGCGGGTGAAGGGCAAGCAGGCCCCGCTGGAGCCGAGTGTGCCTGCTGCGAAAGCTTCCGCTTCCTCGACTGGGCGTCGCCCGGAAGCACAACAGTGTCTGCAGCCTGCGCAGCTGGTGCCTGCTGTACCTCCGCCCCCGCCTCTTGCGGAACCTCCTGCACGTGTGCGCAAGAGCCGACGAAGTGATGATTGGAACCCCACCGAGGTTCGGGCGGCCTACAAGAAGCGATACCCTTTGCGTCAGATGTCGCTGACGGATCTGCCGGCTCCGGGCATCCCTGAGGGACATGACCTGAAGTGTTGCGTTTTTTGTAAAAAGACCTTCGCCACCACAGACAAGTGCAGCAATCACAGCAGAGCTTGTCCTGACATGCCGTATGATGAATGGTTGAGGCGGATTCGAATCACGCAGTATGATTTTCGAGACTCTTCTATCACGTGTCCTCACTGTGGCACAGGGCTGTCGACTCCTAAGGCTCGTGGCCGTCACGGGGTGACGTGTGGGCAACGTAGGACCAGAGCAGGATTGAGTCTGCACTCCGGCGAATTCCATGACATCGATGGTGCCATTGCGTAGCATTTTGCTCCAGTCTGGGGGTGTTGAGGTAGGCTCTTTAGACCGCAGTGCCATGCCGACAGCAGCTGAGGTTCGCGCCAAGGCTGAGGAGCTTCGTGTGAAAGGGCAGAGTGGAGCGCTGCCGGGGCAGGCGGCTAAGAAGCCCTTCCAGAGGGCAGGTGCCGCTGCCGGCTCAGAGGACCGCTTTGAGAAGTTGCTGCGCTTCTCAGCTTGTACCAGGCCACGTCGTTGGATCGTGTCCTGTGCGCCGTCAACATAGTCTTTGTCTTGTTCTCAGACCAACTCCAACAGGGCATGGAAAAGCAGAGCTTGAGTCAAAGCCGGAGCAGCCGAACGCGGGAGAGGGCAAGTTTGTAGCCCACCCTTTGGGCGACAAGCGCATGCTCATGTTCTGCACTATGATCGAGGCCTTGATGGGCATGCCCTTTGCCAAGGCGCCGGAAGTCCATGAGGCCCTCAAAACCTTGGAGGCCATGGATGTGGATGTGGATCTCAAGGTTGCCGTTGGTGCCTTTGCTCCTCGCCATAGCACCCCCAAGCAGGGCAGGCCTTGGGTGTGGGAACTGTCTGTGGGCGCGCTTGCCTCGGATGATTTTCGCAAGTCCCTGACGTGCTTGATTGCCTACTTGCAGCAGCACAAGAGTGATGCTATTAAGATTGAGCCGCACAGGATGGGGCCTACGGGTCTGCTCCAGGCCTTGTGGGATGATCTGAAGACTCTTCAGGGGCAGCGCGCTGCTCCCTGAGCACGCCGAGACATTAATTGAAGGCCGTGAGCTTTGTGTGGGGGCCTTCGCTGCATGGATGCTCGCCCCGCGCTTGTGTTTGACAGCGCCTGCCTGCCTTGTCCCCCAGGGGTTTAGGAGGTTTGTTAGGGGGGTGATGCACTAGTTACGTCTGGTCTGTTTTGCGTCGCTTTGCAAACCGACGTGTCCCTTGTCCCGTAAGGGTTTAGGTCCCGTGGGCTTCCTCCTCTGCATGTAGTTGGGCTTGATGCTGCGTTTTCCATACTTCTGCCGCGCCTTGTCCCCGTAGGGGTTTAGGTCCTTGACTGTTGTTAATGACGCAGACGGAGCAGACAGCTGCTCTGATACTTCGGTGCTGCAGTTTGGTGGCAACGAGTTTTTCAAGACGTTTTTGCTCGGAGCTTGGAGCGGGGCAACCAGCGTACTCCAATGGTGGATGCGCTGGCACGGTGGTGGCCACTACGCCTGGCTACCCGCGCCTCTGTGGCGTGCACTACTTTTACGATGAAGCTGGCGACTTTTCCGCCTACCACAACCTTCTGACACGCATGTTCTTTCAGGGGGGGGATCAACATAGAGATTATGAGATGATATGGGATGTATCAGCCCGTCCCAATGTGTTAATATTTTTAGTGTGGAAATTGTGCTTAAAAATATGCCGATTACCTTGAAAGATCTCGCAAGTGTGTTTTGTTCACACGTTTTGGTTTTGACTTCCCATGACAGGATGGTCTCACTGGAAGCGCCTGGGGTGACTGGGCCAATTACACCGCCTCACCTTGGACTCCTTTGAGCGCACGTCCTGACCACAGTCTCCGTGGAGTCTGGATGGGCCTGGCACCTAGCCTGACCCTACCGAGCCGCTCTGAGATGGGTTACAGGCTGGCTGATCTATTCACCACTTTTGCACAGCGCTTGATTCAGGTTTGTATCCCAGCTCTGCTGTTCTTGATCATGTGCATAAATCCAGTGCTAAACCACTGCACAGATGCAGTCTGCAAAAGGTTGAGCCTTCAAGGCCTCAGCCATCTCGCCATGCACTCCCTCCTGTGCCTTTTGATTTATGTGCTGCACACGCTCCTGAGCAGTGACATTCTGGTCTCAAGCCTCAGTTCCAGATTGCACCACTTTTTCAGACGCCGCAGCCCTATTCTGATCCGTTGTCGGATTGTTGGAGGCCGCAGGTATCGCATCAGCCGTCATGCATGCAGGCGTGATGCTACTGTCCCACGCTTTTTCAGATGCAGTCGTGTCTTTGCGAGCCTTGTCAACACTGTAACTACTCTGGTAACTTATGTCTACCGATGGTTTCTGACTAGAGCCGAAATCAATCGCATTACTCATGCGATCATGGGAAACATTTCCATGCGTGAACTTCAGGAGGCCTTGAACAAGCTTGGAATGAATCAGCAGTGGCATAAGCAAGCAGCTAAAGCCCTCCTCCAGGACAGCGCTCGTAAACAGAGAGCGCAAGAGTTGTTTGAGGCTGGTCTTTTGTTTGACCTTGGCAAGCTGATTCATGACACACCCGTTTCTTCAGCTTCCACTCCACAGTCTGGTGGTAAAGGTACTGGCAAAGGCAAAGGCAAGTCCCGGCCCTCTACTCGCACTCCCTGGGCTGATCTCACCCCGAGACCTGCCTCCATCTTTGAAGATGGAGCCAAGAATCCGCTCTCTGTTATTTCCATTAAAGTCGCTCATGCTGCCGCCAAAGGTGTTTTCTTGGCTGGCGTTGGGGAGTTTGAGTCCTTCCTTGACATAACCAGCAATTCCCCGTTGGCCATGCTTGTGCCACAGACTCCCAAAGTCCGTTCGATTTTGCAATCTCGTGGCGTTGCATTTGCCGAGCGCCTTGTTGCTCTTCATGACCCGAATTCCGACATCACGACTCCGAAGCCAGTCTTCCTGATCACGCTAGGTGGATCTGTTGTTTTTGCCGAGGCTACACCGGATGCTCAGTTCGAGGTTCCGGTACCTACAGTTGAGGTTGCTATTGACATTGAAATCGATTGCATTGACCCCTGCATGCAGCGAGAAGTTGACAAAAATGCGCGCTACGCATTTAAGCAAATAGTGCACGCTGCCTTCTCTGAACAGATTGTCTCGGAGTGCTACTCTGTTTTTGTTCGTGCTTCGGTCCTGCAGGGCATCATCAAGATCCCAGTTTCTCAATTGATCAATGTCCTACGTCGCTCAGGCCCTGATGGTATTTTTGCTAAAGAGAAGTGGCGGGCGCAACCCGTTCAACTCCCTTTGGCCCTGATCCACCAATCACAGTTGCGCGAGAAGAACTGGGATACTGCAGTCAAAGCTGCTTCTGAGCTCTCCGGTTTCGCTGGAATCCACCGCAGTGCTACAGGTTCAAAAAGCCTTCGTTTTGACGACAAGGGTATCGCCAAGGCTCGTGAGGTATTGTGTGTCTCAGGACTCTACTCTGATGACAACATTAGTGTTGTTGCCACACATTTCTTTCAGGTTCAAGGCATTCCAAGCGGAACCACTGCTGCTGCTCTTTGTGCCGGTTTGCGTCAGTGGGGATGGACTGTCATCCCTGTCAAAAGCTGGCCACTGTCCCCCACGCATGCAATCTGGCTTGTTGGTTCGGCCACCGAGCCTCCAGGGGAGTTCCTGATTTTGCAGGACGTTACTGTTACAGTTGTCAAGGACGGCCCTTCCACTCGCCAATCCACTACTCCTTCTAAGTCTGTCCCGGTTGACCCCTTGCAGGCCAACGACCCGTGGGCTCGCTTTACCAGGGCTTGCCTTAACACGACCCTAACACCTGCCGCTCCTACTGCCCCTAGTTGCCCTAACCCACCCAAGGTCCAAACTGTTGTCGAGTCGCGCATCGTCGATGCTGAAAAGCGCCTTGCAGATCAAATGCAGTCCATGCTTACTTCTGCGCGCCTTGAGTTTCAAGAGCAACTTGATAAATTGCGTCAGGACCAAGCCTCTGTGATGCAAATGCCTGGCCCTCAGACGGACGTTGATGCTCGCATCACCAGTGCAGAGCAACGCATCACTGATCAGATGCAGACCACATTTCAGTCCATGCGTCAGGAGTTTGGGCAGCAGTGCGAAACTTTGCGTCAGGAGCAAGCTTCCTCTAGCAAGCTCCTTGCTGACACTGTTAGCCACGTGCGCCACATCGAGGCTAATGTTGTTAGTCAAGTTCAAGACTTGAAAACACAACAGGCTGGCACGGAAGAGCGGTTGCTTGCAGCCATTGCTTCCAGTGGCGCCAAGCCTAGCCCATCCCGCAAAGCTCCCCGCGCCACTTAGCCGTGCAATCTCCCACTTTTGAGTTCCCATTGGGATACTTCGCTGTATTGATGCATTCAATTATTTTGGCTCTGACTCCATCTCCCCTAGGCTTCGGTTTAGGCCTCCTCCCCCAGTCAGGTTTTTGTCCAGGACGCAGGACTAACGCTTCACAGTCCAGCATGCAATGCAATGCTCGCCAGACAGTGTCTTTGTCGTACTGCAGGCATGCCCGTACTCAGAAACACCTTGCCCCAAGACGACCTTTTTGGCACACAGCGGCATTGTGTTTTCTGCTTACCTTCGGCCCCATGTTTGCTTCTGATCCTACTGGGGATGGGCCTCATATTACCCTTTTGTCAGCAAATGTCACTTCGATGAGGAAGAATTTTCCCATAGTACGTGAGCTCGATGCCTCTTACAGTTTTCTCCAAGAGACAACTCTTAACTCACAAGGGCAGTCCTCCATGAGGAAAGTCCTTCATAAATCGGGTTATAACGTACATTTTGGCCCCCCTTGTGGTTATAAATTATCAGGAAGCCAGGCCCAGCACACGATCTGGAATGCCAGATCTGGTGGTCTGGCCACCATTGCCAAGCAGCCGCTACCATGCAAACACATTCCTTCTACTCTGCCGGTGTACTCCTCCGGAAGGTGTATGTTGACCTGGATCCCTACGGGGGTGGGCACTCGTGGTTTTTACGTGCTGAATGTTTACGGCTTCGTTGGCGCTGGCCCAAAAAATCCTAAAGCCCTGGCTCTAAATGAAGACTTCTTATCTAGTGTCATAGAAGAGATCGCCGCCTTAGGTGATGTTCCCGTCATTGCCCTAGGTGATTTTCAGACTTGTCCTAGCCAGTCGCAAGCATTAGGCCAAGCCGTCGCAGCAGGCTTCCTTTTGGACTTAGGTGCCCTGCTAACTGAAAGCCAGTGGACGTACCAACAGGGCAACAACACCACTATGCGTACCCGCATAGATTTGGCCTTGTGCAATCATACCTTCCTGCCACACATTCAATCCATGAGCATTCTGCGTGACACTGGTCTTCCTGGCCACTGCCCACTCAAAATATGTGTTACTTTTCCGGAATATGTAGATCATAAGATGGTTTACCGTACCCCGTTTCCTTTCAAAGACATTGCACCTGCCACTCCTCAGCAGGCCCAGTCCTTGGATGGTAAGCACTGGCACCAAGATGTTTGCTCTGCCATACGTGAAGCTCTCCGTCATGGCGATGTTGATGCAGCCTTCAGCCTGTGGACGACTGGACGAGACAAGCTGAGCGATACTGTGCCTCACTCCTAGTTCTGCAGCAGGGTACCCTCTCCCGTAGTCACTTTGGTAGAGGTTTTACACCTAAAGTAGTCCAAACCCCTGTCCAGGCTCCCCCTGCTTCACCTGAACATGGTGCAGCTGACCTGCGTCTTGCTGCCATGATAAAACTTCAGAGAAGACTGTCTCAACTTGGTTCTAAATTGCGCTCGTGCCCCGCAGAGGGGACCCCTGCATACGAGCAACTCCTCAACCTGTGTGCCAATGTTAAGCTGACTTGGGCCCGATTGTTTCCCAACTGCGCTGCTTGTTTTTCCCAGCTTGTGCCTTGTTTTCAGCAAGCGTGGGACTTGCAAGGTACACTTGCCAAGCGCATCACTCTTCACCAGCAATCTTTGCGTGACCATCGCATTGGCCAACACAAATCGCGTTTGATTAACGATTGGAAAGAAGGGCACCGTAAACTCACATATGCTTGGGTCCGTGACACTGAGCCTTACATGACCCCTTGCTTTCAGCATGAAAGTAGGAAACATGAGTATGTCACGAAACATGCTGAACTTCATGAAATGATGCTGAAGGAATGGTCTCCTCTTTTCAATCGTTATGTTGAACGCGACCCACCGCGATATGATGATTTTCTTAATTCCTTTCCTGATGCACTGCCGACAATGCGTCAGCATACAGCTGAAACACCTTTTGTTTTGCCTACACTCAGCAGCCATATGATCGCAGTTGCAATAGACCTTCTTACTGAAATATACAATGCCATTGAATACCATGGTAGATGGCCCCACAGCTTGCAAGAAGTCCCTGTTGCAACCCTCCGCAAAGGTGAAGGCAATAGTCCCCTTGACGTTAGGCCAATTTCCTTAACACCTATTTTATATAGGGTTTGGGCTCGCACGCGTTTCCTGCAGCTTCAGCCTTGGCACGTGCAGTGGCTACCAGAGCAACTCCGTGGTGGAGCCCCTGGCAGAGACTCTATCGATGCTTTCTACGAACTCGCTCTCGAAGCTGAATACTGTGCTCACACTAGTCGCCCCCTTTTCGGAGTCCTCTTTGACTATACCAAATGTTTTGATTTGGTTGCTTGGACCGTTGAAAAAGGCCTCTTAACTGATCTAGGCATGCCACAGCACGTTTTACGACCCATGTTCTCGTATGCTGCAAACATTCAACGTCGGTTTAAATTAGGTTCGTCCGTTGGACCTAAGTTTGGTAACACCAGTTCTATCTCACAAGGGTGCCCTCTTGCTATCCTGCGCATCAACGCTTTGATTGCCGCTTGGGTGCACTCCATAGCCGGCCATGCTGACCTTACCCAGTGCTCAGTAGGCGGTTATGTCGATGATCGTAATATGCGCAGCACGGATCTACAGCAACTGCGCGTTGCAATCCAAATTTCACAAAAATTCGACACTGCTACCGACGCTGTGCTTAACCTAAGGAAAACTTCCATCTTCGCAACTACCACTGCTGCGAGGAAACAGCTTGCGTCCGTCCAGCTGGATGGTTTTGACGCCAAAGTCGTCAAAGACGAAAAACTGCTGGGAGGCCAACTCAGTTTCACTAAGAAACGAGCAATTGCTGTTGCGAATGAGCGTGTTCTCAAATATGAAACTGTAGCAAAACGTATTGCCATGTGCCCACTCAGCTTTTCGGCGCGGCACACACTTCTGGCAACTGCCGGTGCTACTAAGTTTTCTTATGGCATTGAGCTAGGCTCGTGTACTCGCAAGCTTGAAAAAAGAGTCCGTAAGACTGTGTCCAATGCCATCTGGACGAAGCGCTCCAGCAAGTCCAGTGACATTGTCTTCTCCCTTTGCTATAAAGGTCACAAAACAGACCCTTGCCAAATCAAACTCTTGCGCCCTTTCGTGGTTGCTAGACGGCAGCTTCAGAAACACCACAGCATGACGCCGATGTGGTTACACATCTGGCATCTTACACATGCCAGTAGAGAAAAATTTAAATATTTTAGGTCTAATGCTGTTGGCCCTCTTTCTGTTCTTTTTCAAACTTCACGTGAATTAGGTTGGGAATGGGTTGAGCCCTTGGTGTTTAAGATTCCGATTGGCCATGGTCGTTGCATTTTGCTGCATCTCACTGACCTT